GACATTTTTATATGTTGACTTTTTGTTTTAATTTTATCTATATGTGGGTTTAATGAACTTGTATTTAATTTTTGGGTACCATATGTCTTACCCTGCAAGTACATATGTTAATATCAATTGTTTGTAAAAAATTTAAGCATTTTTTGATGTAATTAAGATAAATGCTTGAGGACACCATGTTCTTGGAAAAAAGAAAATTAATACATTGATTCTGTGACAATGTTATAATACATTGCTACATATTGGTATATTAAGCATGCAGTTATTTTTAAGTATATTATCAATATACCAAATTAATTTGTACTTAGCAATAATGATTTCAATCCATATTGTATTTATTTTAAGTTTTGTTTAATTATATTTGATGGTATTTTTTAGTTTATTTATTATAAATTTCACTGTGTTGTTTATTCTTGGCAACACACTGTTTACGCATACTTATTTCATTACCACACTTAAACTGTTTTTTGATATCTGGATATTCTAAATGTTATAACGTAGTTATGGAAAAATATCTCATATATGAACTTTTTTTTAATGTACATGATTTTTTAAGGAAAACTGTGATTGTTGTTTTAGACAATGGGTGAAATAAAGATATTTTCTTATAACTGTAGAGGCCTTAATGATACGAAAAAGAGGTCAGATGTGTTTAACTTTTTAAAAGATCGCAAAGCAGATATATTTTGTTTACAAGATTTGCATTTTACAGAAAATATGAAGAAACATTTATACAATCAGTGGAATGCTGAATGTTTTTTTAGCTTTTATAAATCAAATGCTCGAGGAGTTGGTATTTTATTTAAACGAAATTTAGACCTTAAAGTTCATCAATCCTTTGTTGATGAAAATGGAAATTATATTGTTTTAGATTTATCAGTAAACTCAAAACAATTTACATTAATTAATGTCTACGGTCCAAATACAGACCAGCCAAAGTTTTATGAAAATATTTTTCGCTTAATAGATGATACAAATAATAATACATTTATTTGGTGTGGTGATTTTAATCTAGTACAAGATATAGAATTAGATTATGATAACTATAAATCGATAAATAATAACAAAAATTCTAGATCTGTATTGTTGAATTACATTGATCAAAAACGTCTCTTTGATCCATTTCGAGAATTAAATGGTAATTGCCATAAGTTTACATGGAGACGCACAAATCCAATTCAGCAAGCCAGATTGGATTTTTTCCTTATTACTGAAGATTTATTACCACATGTTAGAGGTTGTGATATAGATGTAAGCTATAGATCTGACCATTCTATTATAATTCTTAGAATTGATTTACAAAATATTGTACATTGGAAAGGTTTATGGAAATTTAATAATTCTTTATTATGTGACCTAGAATATTTAAATTGTATTAATGATAAGATAGATGATGTAATATTGCAATATTTGTTGCCAGTATATAATATTGACTGTTTGAAAAATCTCAATAATGAAGATTTACAATTTAGTATTGATGATCAACTTTTTTTAGAAACCCTGTTAATGGAAATTAGAGGCAAAACCATCTCTTTTTCTAGTTACAAAACCAAAAAAAGAAATTCTGAAGAAAACAGTCTCCTCTCCAAAATTCAAGACATAGAGACAAATATAAATGAAGAAAATAAGAAAACTTTATCTGATTTACATTCAAAACTGGAAAGTATAAGAACTGAGAAAATAAGGGGTCATATGATAAGATCGAGAGCACAATGGATAGATGAGGGGGAAAAACCAAGTAAATTTTTTTGTAATTTAGAAAAATATAATTATGCTAGTAAAATAATTCCATACCTACAAAATATAGATGGGTCTTTTATCTATGACCAAAAATCAATATTAAATGAGACTGAAAAATTTTACAGCAATTTATATAGTAATGCTGATGTTATTGGGGGAAAAATATTAATGATTTTCTTGACAATACAAATGATATATACAAATTATCAAGAGAACAATCAAATAGTCTAGAAGGACTCCTATCTTTCTCTGAACTGTCAAACACTTTAAAAAATATGAAAAATGACAAAAGTCCAGACTCAGACGGTTTTACAGCTGATTTTTATAAAGTTTTCTGGTCAAAAATTGGTTATTTTGTTTTGAGAGCAATAAATTATGGATTTAGAAATGAAGAATTGTCAGTGACTCAGAAGCAAGGAATTATTACTTGCATTCCAAAAGATAACAAGCCTAGACAATTTTTAAAAAACTGGCGACCAATTACCCTTTTAAATGTTGTTTATAAATTAGCGTCAGAATCAATAGCCAATAGGTTAAAAACAGTTTTAGACTCATTAATTTCTTCTGATCAAACTGGTTTTATAAAAGGTAGATTTATTGGTGAGAACATACGTTTATTATATGATGTCATGAACTACACAGAAAAACATAAGATTCCTGGAATGCTATTGATGATAGATTCTGAAAAAGCTTTTGATACCTTGTCTTTTAATTTCATAAAAAACACACTCTCTTTCTTCAATTTTGGTCCAATGTTTAAACAATGGATATCTTTATTTATGAAAAATGTAAAGACAGCTGTACAGTTAAATGGATTTCTCTCTGACTTCTTCGAAATAGGGAGAGGCTGTCGTCAAGGAGACCCCATAAGTCCGTATATCTTTATTTTGTGTGCTGAAATACTAGCAATTAAGATAAGAAACTCTAAAGATATTAAAGGAATCAATATAAATGATGTGGAATATAAAGTATCTCAGTTCGCTGATGACACTTCTCTTTTATTAGATGGTTCAGAAGCTTCTTTGAATAACACCTTAGATACCCTCTATACATTTTCTAAATATTCTGGACTTAAGGTAAATTTTGAAAAAACACATGTTATATGGATAGGCTTAAACAAAAATAGTACTAGATCTATTAAAACAAAGTGGAAACTAAACTGGGGTGGCAGAGCTTTTAAATTGCTCGGTATAAATTTTCATGTAGATTTAGAAAAAATGGTAGATATTAATTTCACGGAAAAATTTAAGAAAATAGAAAATTGCATAAAGTATTGGAATAGGAGGGAGTTAACTCCTATTGGTAGAATTACAGTTGTTAAGTCAATTATATTACCACTTCTAACACAGTTGTTTATGTCTCTTCCAAACCCAAGTACACAAATACTCAAAGATATTAACAAAATGTTTTATGAATTTGTTTGGGGTGGCCCATCAAAAATTAAATCTAGTGTTTTAATAAAAAACTACAGGGAAGGTGGTTTAAAAATGATTGATGTATTTGCGAATATGAAAAGTTTGAAATTAACATGGTTTAGAAGACTTCTCACTGGAAGTGGTAAAAAATGTTTCACATTTATTAGTAACATTTTTAATTATGACAAAGTTTTTAACTGTGGAAAGTGTTATGTAGAAATTGAATCTAAATCAATGTACAATTACTTTTGGAAAGATGTTTTGTTAGCATTTATTGACTATATAGATATTGTGAAAATAACAGATATAGACCAGTTTGTTAACTGTCCATTGTTTTACAATAATAATATTTTGATAGATAGAAAGCCTGTGTATGTTAAATCAATGTATGAAAATGGAGTGTTTTTTATCAAAGATATTATGCAAAAAAATGGAAATTTTGTGAGTAAAGAAAATTTAGAAACAAAAATTGGTACAAATATGAATTTTTTAGTTTATGAGGGTTTGAAAAGTGCTATTAGAAAGTACATAAAGTCTCTAAAAATAGAATATTCTAATACCAATGTATTATTGCCGTCTATTCCCTTTTATATAAAACATATACTTTTATGTAGAAGTGGAACCTCTACCATATATAATGTATTTATTGATAATTGTCAAATACCTACATGTATACATATCAAAATGGAATGCTTATTTTAACATTGACGATACTGAGTGGAAATACCTGTTTGAATGGGTTCACACTGAAACTAATGATAGTTACCTTCAATGGCTTCAAACTAGAATCACCCATAGAATTCTAGGAACAAACTATTTAATGTCTAAAATGAAATTGACACAATCTGATAAATGCACTTTCTGCAAAGAAGAAAAAGAGACATTATCTCATTTATTCTGGAATTGTTCGGTTATAAAAACTTTTATCTCAGATGTGCAACAATTGCTAAAATGTCATAATGTTGATTGGAAGGTTGATTGTAAAACATTTATTTTAGGGTATCAAAAAGGTGATCAATGTCAATTTAATATTTTTTGTCTAGAATTAAAAAGATATATATTCTTGTGCAAGAGGAGGGAGATAATACCATCTTTACAAGGCCTTGTCTGCAGTTTAAAGCTAGCATCTTCAATAGTTAGTTATACAAAAGTTAAAAAATCTATGTACTCATTAGTTGATATGATAGCAAATAGATAGAACCTTTTTTGAATTAACCACTTATATATTACAGTCTGTGTATATTATATCCAGTTTTGGTGGAAATGAAATACTCTGAATCCCAAGAGAACATTTATCTTCTGTGTATTGTATGTATTATAAAAAAATGTATGATATAAATGCCCGTAATATGTTTTTTGTAACATTATAATAAAATGTAAGGTAAAATAGTGGATAGATCCCCGACCCTATTTTACCTATTACGGGGACAATAAACGGAGTTACCTCTTGGGCTTCAAAAAAAAAAAAATATATACCCGTTGGTATATTTCATCTAATTTAGATTTTAAGGGCTATTCTTTATACACAAATGTGCTTAAGATAAGACAAAAATGTGTCACAAGAGTTTCATTTTATATATGAGCCGCGTCACGACAAAACCAACATAATGTGTTTGCGACCAGCATGGATCCAGACCAGCCTGCGCATCCGCGCAGTCTGATCAGGATCCATGCTGTTCGCTTTCAGTTTTTTTTACTTGTTATAGGGTCTGTAAGCGAACAGCATGAGTCCTGATCAGACTGCGCGAATGGATCCATTCTGGTCGCAAACACATTATGTTGGTTTTGTCGTGACGCGGCGCTTATGTTGATATAAAACTAGTAAACGATCTATTGTTACAGACTGAACAACATTAACATCATATCTTTCAGAGCATGTGCACTTGGTATATACCTGTTCAGTTCTTTCTCTTGGAACTTTCCATCATGGTTGTAAAAATACCCGAATCAGGTAAATATAAACAAACGTATGACAATGAATGCGAATCAATGTAATCTAGAGTTCTGTTCGTGAAATACAATAAATTTCTCTCATTGCATGATATACATGTATAATTTATAATTTAGCCCTCGTTAGATTATTACAAGACTTGTCGATGTTCTAAAAAGAATACTTCCGGTACAATTACTAGCACTCCGCGTCTTTATATAACTGAAGTTTGGCACTTCATTATTTTATGATATTGAAGTTTTCATTTATATCTGATTTTATCTATGAATTATTTATCTAAAACAGTCATTTTTTTAACTCAGTCAACTTTTTCCAAGGCCTATTTGCTGATTCAATGCATGTATTATTCTTGAAAAATATTTTTACTTAGCGTTTTAATCATTCAGTTTTGCTTTTATTCTTACTCAGATTGTGTCAATCACTTCAAACCAAAGGTTGTTGTAACACGCAATAAATACTTTGATCTTAATATCAATGAGCGTTACCCATTCAAACCTGGATTTGCCATGGCGCCATTTTCTTCAGTTGGAGAGCCTTGGCCTTTACCTAAGCATTTCAAACAGAACGGGATGGAACTCTTACAATTACAGAAATCTACTTTTAAAATCTCGGTGCTCAGGGGGAAATCATGTGATATTTTAATGGAAGCAGTTAAACGATACAGGAATATAATAGACGAATATATTACTGAGGAGCATTACAACTTCCCATTTAATTTTAACGAGGAAACTTTCAACGACCGTAAAAGCTACATAGAACAGAAATATAAGAGTGTTAGAATGATGCCAGACCTAGAAGTTACTGTGATAAATGACCATTGTGGTTACCCACATATAAATATGAACGAATCATGTAAGTAGGTCACAATTATAATGGAAAGTCGACAACCGCCATAATATCAATATTTCTTTTCGCCGAAATTTCGCCCCATCAATTCCTAGAAATAACAAACGGTTATGTCTAAACTAAATGTTGGACAAGTCCATTTAAGTATCTAAACTGTGATAGTTAAGTCACTTTAAATCTATATTCTTTCCACTTAAAGTTAATGAATGTCAGTGTCTGTAAAAAAAACATTTAATAAGAATAAAAATCTTTCTAAATTTAATATAGTATAAAAGAACGGTTGTGTAAAATATACAGTCTGTAGTTTGCCCTGATTTTTCGAAACTTGTTTAGTCCTCCATTTTGAACCCTTCAAGTTAATTGTTGTAAATAATGGGCCTATACTGTGGTTTTTTTACGCTTCATCAAGTCAGAAAGTAAAGCTATACTACAGAATATATTCCCTATTTTAACGCGCAGACAACCTTGACGTCCGTCGAGATGTGGTCAAGCTTTCTGCACAAGAAGTATGGGGAGCTCTTCGAGGTCTTGAGACTTTTAGCCAGTTATTGTTCCGGAAACAAGACACCGAGGAAGTATGTGACGATTTATATTTAATTTTCTTAACGTTATATGTACGTGGTACGTATATAACTGTTGTTTCTGTGTGTTTGTTGTAAGGTATGAATTACAGGACTTGTACATATGTATTTTTGATTATCTTGGTCATCGTTACCTATATTTGAAATTGCCCAAAAGTAAAGCTCACTTTGCTCTACACCCTTCTTTGCCCCATATGATAGGAATAATATATTTAAAATTTTTGAAATAAAGAAACTAGTTATGAAACTAGTTTTCTCTAAAAAAAGTAATAACAATCATTTCGCCGTTGTTAAATAGCCGATAAACACCGCTGAGACCAACATTATTTTGTAACAAATTTGATTTAAAATGACAAACTAGGGATTACTGTTTAAACAGATAACTTTTTTATGTGCTGAGGCCATTTTGACTCAGATCTTACACAATACATCACTGACATCAGATCTTATGTAAAAATAAATAAATGAATAAATACATAAATAAGTAAATAAATAAATAAGTTAAATACGCAGTTCCTTTTTGCAATCAATACTGAATTAAGAATTCACTATAAAGCACTTTCCATAAGTGAAGCTGACTGCTTTGGCGCCTTCCATAAATACAGCTTCTAAGGTCTTACCTTTTTGCGAACTAAGCCAAAATGGCATTAGTAGACTTAGGCTCTATCAGTCAGAAATCATTACAATATTTGCAGGTGTATGCGAAGGTAACGGAGATAACAGACTCGCCTAGATTCCCTCACAGAGGTGTCATGATTGATACAGCTAGACATTATATTTATAAAGATACAATAAAACAAGTCCTGGTAATTTATTTGTATTATTGATTTTGTTTTCCTCTTAATTTACACACAGTGTAAATGAAAAAATATATAAATCTAGACTGAATCATATTAGACCAGATACTTAGGTACGTTTGTAATATTCCTTATTCATCAATAGCCAAAATACTTTGAAATTACACAACATATACACACACATTTTAACGTCTTTAGAATCCGTCTGTGTACGACTGTTTCGGTAAAAAGTTGATATAATAAGTTATAACAATTTTGACAGGCTATATATGACCCGATATGAAAACGGCTTTTTGCATATGTAAATAACTAGAACCGTTTCCATAAGGTCATATAACTTGTCAAAAAATTTTATGATATTAATAATACAGCAAACGTTCGTTAAAAAAATAAACAATTTCTTCACAGCCTATGGCTAAAATAAACGTCACGATTATCCAATGAAAAGCGACGTTACAAACGTTCCGTATTATATAACACTTCAATGTTCACACTTAGATCTTAATTCTGTCTTAAAATGTCTTGCATACTATTATAATTATTTCAGGTCAGATACTAATCTTTTTTTGTCTTGTTAAAGGATGGAATGGCATATAACAAACTCAATGTTTTACACTGGCATATTGTTGATGATAACTCGTTCCCGTACAAGAGTGAAGTATTTCCTAAACTCAGTGAAAAGGTTCTTCTTTATTTATCGATACTTTCTTGCAAGACAAGATGCAGCGTCCATGTGTCGTCTGCTAAAAAGTAGTGTCAATGAAAAAATACTTACATAGATCACCTCTTTATCGTTTGTCCGTCTGTTTGTCTGTCTGTCACAAAACTTGTCCGGACTACACCTCAAAATTCACTGGTGTAATTTCATCCAAACTTCACAGGAATGATCAGTTCTAATGTTATGCTGTGCATTTCATCAGCATTTTCTGGTACAATGTTTTTCGTCAGAGTTATGATCCTTTAAATATTTTTTTAAGTTTTGGTTTCGTCCGAAATACTTCTCTTATGCTATATACTTATGCAACTTGGAAGAAACATTACAGGATTGATCGGTACCTCATGTACTTGCGCATTTTAACGGGTTAATGCATCTTTTTGCTGAGTTATGGCCCTGGAATGATTTTTATTTTTAAAGTTTGTCCGGACTCCTTCTCTTATGCGTTAACCGTTTTGGCCTGTTTTTGTTCTTTTGCTACACAGAAGCTGCAACAAGCTACAAAGTAGCCGCAACTTAGGGAACAAAGTGTCCAATCACCCCTCAATACAGACCACACATTTGATCACTGATCGTTCTAATTAAACTTTTTTTCATCATTAGGTCAAATGCATTAGGATGATTTATGCATCCTTGTTTATATCTAATTCTGAGGTTTTTAAAACTAGAAGTATATTATCATATAATAACATGGTTTTCACGTTAAACCAAATGTATTTCTGATGTCAAAAATGTTATCAGATATTTAAATTATAGTTGTAATGTGTCTATAAATTCTTTTTCATTTTCATTTTTTTTATATATTATTTTAAGGCTGCTTTTCATCCTACCCTGGTTTATACACTGTCTGATATCAGAGATATAGTAGAGTACGCCAGATATCGCGGAATAAGAATTATACCGGAATTTGATACACCAGGTAAAATAAACATAGAAAAATGTTCAATTTTTGTTGGTTAATCAAAATATTTGTTAATAAAGTTTGTTATAAATAAAATTATTATTTCATAAGACAGTAATACTCTAGATGTTTCACTGAGACAAAATGCCTTGTATAAAACTATATATTTGCTGTCTGTGGATTGAAAAAAAAAATGTTTACATTCCTTTAAAACTCGTTGAATAAAAAAATATTATGCTCGCCAGAGGCTCGCATAATATGATTTTATTCAACTCGTTCAATAAATTTAGTATTAAACCTACACTCATTCAATATCCTCTATATATTTGCTGTCTGTGGATTGAAAAAAAAATGTTTACATTCCTTTAAAATCATTAAAGAATACATGTACCTAAAAGAAAAGTATATTTCATTGGAAACATATGGAGCATGTGTGAAAATATCTAATTAGCAGTAGAATATTTTATTCCGGAAAATTTTAGTCCGTTTGTGTTGAATATTCATGTATATTAAATAAATCTTTCAAGAGAAGACCACAAGATTATGAAAACAACTTAAATTCACTGTTTTTAGATTTTTTATAGAAAAAAAATTTCATTAGATATAGCTTCTTGCACTTTAATAATTTATTTGTATGTTCTGATATTTTTTAACAGATGGTTTTAGATAAATTGTTTTTACTCATTAACGAAGACAGATGGCTATTTAATTGAACGAACAGTTTTAAAGTGCTTTTTTAAGACCAAGCTGTCCAATACTTATGAGAAAGGAGAAAAAATAGAGAATAGTTAAGTTTTTATCGTATAAATACAAGATTTATTTTCATGGAGTGGTATGAAAATAGATATTTCACGAGTGGCAGTAGCCACGAGTGAAATATGATGATTTTCATACAACAACAGGAAAATAAATCGTGTATTTATAGGGAAAAAAAACTTGAATTTTCTGTTTATTGTATACAATTTTCTTTTTTTCTGACATTACACTTTGAAAGCTTCCCCTTAAAGTTTTGTGTTTTGCTGAATTTAGATAAATTTGTCCGGTAAGACACCAGTTAAAATACGGAATTGGCAGTGAAAAATAAATTTTTACAGTGAAAATGCGGAAATAAGCATTTTATTCATCAATATTTCTCAAGATTTCATTTTTTAAGTTTATAATAAAATACTTTATTTTAAGAAAATACTAATGATAATAATCAAACATAAGGTGACTATCCTGGTAATATTCTATAAACTTTAAGAAAACTTTTACTTGTTTAGAGCTTTTACCCCTGGCTGCAGTAATAAAAAAGAAGGAAATAGCACACCATAATGTTATATAATAAAAATGTAAAAAAAACTAACAACATACAAACAAACAAAACCAAAGACAGCTTCATTTTTGGACACGTGCTTATTTCTGTACAATGTGTGGCATAATATATCACCAATCTTTTCAATTATCTACACATACATATATAGTGACATCTTACATATATCTTATAACTTGAGAGTATTTTTATATGTTTTATATGCTATATCACTGTAGGACATTCGTTTGCTTGGTTCGCATATCCGGAAATAGTAAGCAATTGTTATCAAGGGAACGACGACTTAGGGCCACTAGGACCAATCAATCCGGCTCAAAATAAAACTTACGAATTCATGGGGAAGCTATTTAGTGAGATATTCGACATTTTCCCCGAAGAATTCGTGCATTTAGGTGCAGATGAGGTCACAACCCTATGTTGGTAATGTACCATTGTTATAAAGAAAAAAAAAAAAAAAAAAACAATTACATCGTTTTCTGGTGAATAAATGTGAGTGGTGAACCTTTGTTTGCCTGTGTACTTACTTATTTGTGAAATATTATCATGACATAACATTGCTTATAAATGTCTAACATTTTAATGCCATTATCTATTAAAGATCATCATCATCATCATCATCATCATCATTATCATTATCATCATCACGAACATCATAAATGCATGTAGATTATTGAATGGAATTTATGCAAAAGGTATATTGTTAAATACCGTAAACTTGAAGTTATATTATGCATTAATGACGTTTTTTAATAGAAGATACAACTTACTTCATCTCTTATTTACAATTCTGACGAATATAAACATTTTAATATCAATCACTGATTTGTCTGCAACTTATTTTTTTTGTAGGGGTACAAACCCTGGTATCAAGTCGTACATGCAAAAATACGCCGGAATACATGTAGAAACGTCACATAACAAGTTCATCGGCCGAACATTGGGCTACTATTTTGAGCGGTATTTAAATTCACTATTCATATATGTAAACAAAGATATCAAGTTTGTATAACCACACTTTCACTTCACGTTAAATTTTGATCACTTTTTTAAAACCTTTATCTTGATTAAACGCTGAATTGAACGTAATTGTTACTGAAATTATGCTACCCGCCAACCCTATGCCCCTCTCCCCTCCTGTCCCACCAAACCACTCTCAACTGGTTCGAACTCACAAAGCTGGTCTTTGAGCCTAAATTATGCTAGTTGAAATAAGCATACAGTTTTAGCAGTTACTAATATGAGCCGTGTCACGACAAAACCAACATAGTGCGTTTGCGACCAGCATGGATCCAGACCAGCCTGCGCATCCGCGCAGTCTGATCAGGATCCAATCTGTTCGCTATCAGTTTCTCTACTTGTTATAGGGTTTGTAAGCGAACAGCATTGATCCTTTGTTTATATTTGAAGAACTTCATTTCATTTTTTTTGCCTAGATTGATACCAACTCTACATGCTACAGCGAAAGAAAAGAAGCAGGAAAAGACATTTATTCTGTGGGAAGACATTATCCTTAACAACAATCAAGTAAAGTGTCATAATTAATTAAAAATATATAATATTAGTCATAAACCCGTCCAAGTACTAACGTACTTTCTTCAAATGAAAAATATCGTAAAAAATTAACAGTTTGCCACCTTATTGCAGTAACGGGTTAACTTCTATTAAATTTAATAGCAGTTCATCCGTTTCTGCACTGAAATGGCGAGACATTGTCTTTCCTTGCCAACAGGGCCGGCAGGACCCGAATCCTGCTTGGGATTCGAGCGCACATTTAATTGTATTTTTTTTTGCAAAAGCACATACATTAAAAGGAAACTATATTGAAATAGAAGAGACGCTCTGCAAGTATACAAAGTCAGATGTCAATGGAATTTGAAAATATTTGAGGTGGTACGCAAACTTAACGTAAATTCTAAGTTGAAGAAGGGTCATAATTCTGTCAAAATGCTTTATGGAGCTACCTCCTCCTGTGTATGGGTTTGGATATGATTGTAAAATGTATGCAAAGTTTAAAAGCCATGTGTAAATGGACATGTATTTACGCCGTGTAACACCGCAAAACGTCCGTACCGCAAAACGTACGTATATGGACGTTTTGCGGCGCATATCGTCCACATTTTTCTGACGTACATTTTGCGGCAAAAATGCATGGTCCTGCCGCATAACGTCCATATTTTAAAGTTTATATAATTTTAGCTAATTTTGACCAGTTATTATCAGGTGTTTTTGTGTGTTAATTTCAGCTCACCTGAGTATGCGCCTGTCTGTCTGTCTGTCTGTCCGTCCAAATTTAGCTTGTTACCACTCCACATACCCTAAGCAATATGTCAAGAGTTATCTGTCCTTGAATTACAATCACATTGTTACCACTCCAACGCTTTCATTTCTTCTTTAATCTTGACAATATTCAACAGAATATCTATGACCATAAAAATCTCAACAAAGTTAGAATATAGGCTAAATCTATCAAAAAAAACAACAACATAAAACGCACTATATATCACCTTGTTAGCGCTTTCGTTTCTTCTCCATTCTTAAAGTATTTGATACAGAATATGTATAACAATAAGGTCTCGATCAAGTTCATTTATGAGCTAAAACGACTGAATATGTCAAGAGTATTTTGTCTTTGAATAATAAAAAAAAGACTTATTTTAAAGTCAAATTATTGAATTGTGATAAAACTGCCATTTCTTTCTTATCAATGATCAGATGTCATTCATACATTTATGACAGGACGGACATCTTGAATAGTTCAACTATAATATTGACCTTGAAATGACCTTGACCTCAAGGTCACTATTGAATTTCGCTTAAATTACCATATCTTTGTCATTTACAGATATTTGGATATTGATGACCATTTCAGGCGTAGAATTGAGTACTGATATCAGTTACCCAGATTCTGACCAAGTACATGAAATGTACTTGCTTTTTTATTTGTAATATTCAATGTTATCTACCCTTGTCATGTGGAGCCTTTATAGGCAGGTGGGCGATATAAGGCCACCATGACCTTTTTGCTTTGTTCAATTATAAAATTAAATTGTTCAATTATAAAATTACATTATGGCATTCAAAACAAAACGCTTACATTACGATATTTTAAAATATGCTTTATTTTTTATCAATGGAACACATTGAACTTCTTTTTCATCATTTCTTACGCGGAAGAATATTTGTATTAATATACTCTATTACATATTATCTATGTAACTTATAGGCGAAATTTTTTGTTCTTTAGGCGATAAAATAATACGGTTTTAGTAAAGAACGGACTTTCCGACTAACCTATAGATTAAATCATTTTTCAAAGTTATATTTTATGACAATTTCAAACTTGCATTTACTAGAATTTGTAGTTCAAAATATTTGACCTGCGTCAAGCAGAAATAAGCACTATCGTCATTTTTTCCACATATTGATGATGTTTCAAAAAATCTCATCTTTGAGAAAATATTTTAAAAGTTACAGGGTTAGTTACTGACACGCGTTCTGTAGGAAACCATAACGGGACTCAACCACAGAACCGTATATAACGGTTTATTACATGCTTGTCGGTGGTTAAAAGAAATATACCAGTGAGTTAAAAACATGTAATTTCACTGGTTGAAACAGTGAAATTATCGATTTGATAATTTCACTGTTTTTAATATTTGAGCCCAGTACGTTGTTTCAGTAACATACAAGCGTTCACAGTACTGGAAACCAACTTAATGACGTGACGTCGTAAATGACGTCACGTTGTATTATTAATTGGCGCCCTTTTCATTCAGTACTAAGTCAAAATGTCTTTTTAAACGTTTCTTTGCATATAATAAAAAGAAAATTTGTTTAGTTTAATGTAAGATCGAAATATATTTCACCTCGTGAACACCAAAAGTTCATATTTCACTCGTTGCTGCGCCACTCGTGAAATATACCTTTTGGTGCTCACTCGTGAAATATATTCCGATCTTACACTGAACTAAACAAATATCCTCTATATCTAACCCTTTAACGATTCTATCACGCCGAAAACCTTCCTCATCGTAATTTAGCATAACCAGGGAGACCATACCACGTGACAATATGTTAATACAGCAAGTAACAAGAAATATCTTTAAAAAAAGATAAACGGCGTTGATGGAAAAGATTTTCATGTATAAGAAAGAAAGAAATATAGAGCGGCAAAGCGGACGCAGTTTAGTAAATCATCTTGAATAGTTCAACTATAATATTGACCTTGAAATGACCTTGACCTCAAGGTCACTATTGAATTTCGCTTAAATTACCATATCTTTGTCATTTACAGATATTTGGATATTGATGACCATTTCAGGCGTAGAATTGAGTACTGATATCAGTTACCCAGATTCTGACCAAGTACATGAAATGTACTTGCTTTTTATTTGTAATATTCAATGTTATCTACCCTTGTCATGTGGAGCCTTTATAGGCAGGTGGGCGATATAAGGCCATGACCTTTTTGCTTTGTTCAATTATAAAATTACATTGTTCAATTATAAAATTACATTATGGCATTCAAACAAAACGCTTACATTACGATATTTTAAAATATGCTTTATTTTTTATCAATGGAACACATTGAACTTCTTTTTCATCATTTCTTACGCGGAAGAATATTTGTATTAATATACTCTATTACATATTATCTATGTAACTTATAGGCGAAATGTTTTGTTCTTTAGGCGATAAAATAATACGGTTTTAGTAAAGGAACGGACTTTCCGACTAACCTATAGATTAAATCATTTTTCAAAGTTATATTTTATGACAATTTCAAACTTGCATTTACTAGATTTGTAGTTCAAAATATTTGACCCGCGTCAAGCAGAAATAAGCACTATCGTCATTTTTTTCCACATATTGATGATGTTCAAAAATCTCATCTTTGAGAAAATATTTTAAAAGTTACAGGGTTAGTTACTGACACGCGGTTCTGTAGGAAACCATAACGGGACTCAACCCACAGAACCGTATATAACGGTTTATTACATGCTTTTCGGTGGTTTATAGAAATATATCAGTGAGTTAAAAACTGGTAATTTCACTGTTTGAAACAGTGAAATTATCGATTTGATAATTTCACTGTTTTGAATATTTGAGCCCAGTACGTTGTTTCAGTGAAATACAAGCGTTCACAGTACTGGAAACCAACTTAATGACGTGACGTCGTAAATGACGTCACGTTATATTATTATTTGGCGCCCTTTTCATTCAGTACTAAGTCAAAATGTCTTTTTAAACGTTTCTTTGCATATAATAAAAAGAAAATTTGTTTAGTTTAATGTAAGATCGAAATATATTTCACCTCGTGAACACCAAAAGTTCATATTTCACTCGTTGCTGCGCCACTCGTGAAATATACCTTTTGGTGCTCACTCGGTGAAATATATTCCGATCTTACACTGAACTAAACAAATATCCTCTATATCTAACCCTTTAACGATTCTATCACGCCGAAAACCTTCCTCATCGTAATTTAGCATAACCAGGGAGACCATACCACGTGACAATATGTTAATACAGCAAGTAACAAGAAATATCTTTAAAAAAGATAAACGGCGTTGATGGAAAAGATTTTCATGTATAAGAAAGAAAGAAATATAGAGCGGCAAAGCGGACGCAGTTTAGTAAATATATTTTACTTGTTATATCTGTTGCCATATCATCACTGCCTTCTTAGCATGGCCTAAGGATTAAGCAACCGAGTCTTGGAAACCCCATAACTTCATTCCAGTGTCTGTCCAAAAATATTGAAGCTGCTGCAACATTTTCGTCTGGTGATAGTACGTTGATCAAAGAAGCACTGTCTAAAATTAAGTCGTAATCTACATTTATTCAATTTCAATGCAATACCTCTAGTAGAAAAATAATTCAAGATGAATAAATGTCCTTGAAGTATTCGTGAATATATTTTACTACAGAAATTGTGGACGATATGCGGCGCAAATACACACTCTCGCCGCAAAACGTACCAAGTACGATATGCACCGCAAAACGTCCACATGTGTACGATATGCGACGCAAAACGTCCACACGCGAACGTTTTGCGGTACGGACGTTTTGCGGTGTTACAACGCCGACACCGACGCCCGCGAGACTATGATAGCTCTCATTATTCTTCGAATAGTCGAGCTAAAAAATAAATTAGAATCGCTTATTATACATCGCACGCTTGTTGCAAGAGTGAATTTTTATAATTGACCTTTTTTAATTATATGACAATAATCAAGATTTACTTAAAATACTTCTTCGTACTAGTACTAATACATGTGTTATCAAGTTCTTATTGTAGCTATATATTAATCTAGGTGCCGCCAAATTCAGTATTGCAAATATGGACAGGAGATGTGAAGTCTGTGAATAATCACGGTTATCGTGTGATATTCTCAAAGTGCTGGTATTTGGACAAACATAAAGATTTTCACTGGTTTGATATGTATAGCTGTGATCCGTCCCCTTACACTACAGGTAAATATAATTGAGCCGAGTCATTACAAAACCAACATAATGGGTTTACGACCAGCATGGATCCAGACCAGCCTGCGCATCCGCGCAGTCTGATCAGGATCCATGCTGTTCGCATACAAACCGTATAACAAGTAGAGAAACTGGTAGCGAACAGTATGGATCCTGATCAGACTGCGCGGATGCGCAGGCTGGTCTGGATCCATGCTGGTCGCAAACCCACTATGTTGGTTTTGTCATGACGCGGCTCATATACATTCGTATCTGTTGTTAGGGACATAGACTATCTGGTTTCAGGACATTCATTTTGTTGGTGGTGATGTAGAATTTTGTGGTTCGAGTTTAAGAATCCTTGGTTTGTGGTTTGGGAAATAGAATTTGCTTAAGGCTTGATGTCAGTCTCATTGGTCAATATACATCCTTACTTGTTTTTTTTTATCAATAAAAATCCTTGATATCTGAGTTTGAGCGTAGAAAAAAAATCTTTAAAATCTTTAACCACGTTCTATGATTTTTAGAAAATGAATTTAAAGAGCATACATCGTAATAAAAATAATTATACTACTTCTTACTGTTTTTTTAAGTCTGCATATATTTAAACTCAGCTTTGTTTCAATCAAAAGTCTGTTCTAGTATTTTGTTATTTTGATAGAGGAAGAGAAGGACAAGGTACTGGGAGGAGAGGTTTGTATGTGGACAGAATTTGTCTCCTCTGATTCCGTAATGACTACCTTATGGTCAGTACATTTTTTTACTTCCTCGCGTGAAATACGTATGGGCTTTTTCGTAAATATATTCCTAGGCATTTTAACCATGAATTAAACTACAACAATGCACTCAAAATTGATATGAGCCGCGTCACGACAAAACCAACATAATAGGTTTGCGCAGTCTGATCAGGATCCATGCTGTTCGTTATCAGTTTCTCTACTTGTTATAGGATTTGTAAGCGAACAGCATGGATCCTGATCAGACTGCGTCGATGCGCAGGCTGGTCTGGATCCATGCTGGTCACAAACCCATTATGTTGGTTTTGTCGTGACATGGCTTATATCTATTTCCTAATTAAAGAGACGTTAGCTTTAAACCATTTACTAAAATGTATCATTTAAGTGTTCTACCTAACATATTATTCTTTCTATATGGGATTTTAAATGTTACTACAAAATCGATGAGACCCAAAAAAAAGCAATAAGATATTTTATGGGTGTGTATAAAATACATTATACTGCTTATTTCACGTATTGTAATTATATTCTAGAACATTTAAATGTCTTTTATTTGGTGAAAGTTTAACTATTAGTTTAATGTAAATTGATTTATAAGGTTGTGAAAATGTGAAAAAATGTCGCACTTGTCGCTAAATGTCGCATTATTGCCGCTTAATGTCGCAACTACCTCTAAATGTCGCAACTATCGCTTTATGTTTCAGAATCTTCTCCCGTTAAAATTTTATGTCGCAATAATGGTAACGTTTAATGTCGCCCGATTTCCCCTTGACGTTTAATGTCGCAAGATGTATATCCATGATAAAATTAAGTTAGATAGTGGTATTTAATTACAACTTTGAGTAAATGTTTGTATATATAAAGTAACTTTGGGACACAAGAGAATGTCCTAATCCACCTGCCGACTCGAGTTGAAAACTGCTTATTAAAGTGGATTAGTCTACAATAGGCACATTTTCAAGAAATATTTCAAATATTGAAAACAATAATAGAAACGTATCATTTGGATAAAAATTTCTTGAGCAAAAAAAATGTTTATCTAGTTCTACATGATTTAATATGACATTTATATGATGAATTACTAATATTTGTTCTAAACCATTTTATCATCAACATCCACATATTATTTTTCATGGTTTGTTATCACACATGATTCTTCGCTATATGTTAGGTGCATATAATTCTCGTCTGTAAAGTATATAGCTTTGCGTACTTTTGCAAATTTATAAAGTGGACTAGTGTCTGTTTGCCCTTCACCGCCGTGGATTCGAATCCCGCCAGGGATTTAGGCTTTTTCGTGTTAGGAAGCTATCGAGCTACCATACGGAACGTCGTGGTTCTACTCAGAATCCCGTTCGTGCACGAATGGGGCACCAGAGGTCTCCCTCCACCAGTAAAGCTGGAAAATCGCTATGTGCATGGCCTTGCTGTGTTATTGTGGCGTTTTTATGTCTAAAAAGTAATTACGATTTTGTATGTCCTTTTTAGTTTTAAAAGCTTATTAGGAAAAATAAAATTCTTATTATAATTATTATATTAAACCTCAATTAGATGTTTCATAGTTTAAATAAGGTTTTTATTCTATACTTTGGCTTTTGAAACCCTTTTATTAGAAAGTACGTACGTACGTACGTACGTAAGTAAGTAAGTTGAGGCTACACATTTGGTTACCCAATCTTCCATGAGGGCCTCAAAGGGGTGTCAATATGGACTTCTGTAAAGACACAATGGGTTGATATTTTGCATACGTGACATTAAGTGATGATTGTATCAATGAAATTTGTAAAACTACAATCTGATTGTGGCAAAATAATAATACATATAGTATATTACCTCGTAGGCAAACATGAGTTTATAAATTGAAAGGCCGACACAAAATATAAAAACTCTGATTAATTGAATATTTCTAGAATAAACTTATCGGTGTGTTAGATCCATCTCAAGTTAATGTCGTAGCTCGAATCTGCGGCATTTGGGTTGCAAATGAAAAGTCGTATACATATGTGTTTTATCACCAAGGGACTCTTTGGCATAAAATATGGTCGTCGATGTATAATACCGACTAAGATGACTTCAATTTTAACCAATTATTTTGTATATCGCAGAAAATCCTTTCCTATCTGATAGACAGCTATTCCCCAGATGACTTGCATAACGTTTATATTTACATAATTCCAGTTGTTTAACATAACATGTGATATTACGATATTTAATATTAGTGTTATGACATTTAAACTGTAAAGGAAAATTGTGCGACATTTAACGTCATCATAGGGATATTAAACGGCAACATATTTTGAGACATTTAGCGGTGGTTACGACTTTTAATTAATGGCAATAGCGCGACATTGAGCGGCAAGTAAGTCATTCAGCGTCTTTGCGACATATAACGGCGTAACAGCCGTACCATATGTGTGCCAATCACGCCAACAAGCACTGATCACTCATTTATTTCTTAATGAAGAAAATTTATTACTTACTTTAAACATTACTTCCTTACAATGATATACATACAAAGGTCTTGTATTTTTTCACTAGTTTAGTATCTAATATACATGTATGGAAACATTTTAGGCCACGTTCGTGTCTGCCTGCAGAGCGTTTATGGAGTCCGAGGGAAACGACGGACGAAAATAGTGCCGCGTCACGTTTACAAGAACAAAGATGTCGCATGATTTTGTAAGACAAATGTTAGGTTTCTTTATTATGAGTGTTCTATTCAAGCCAAACCATAAACACCGACAGTGGTTTAACCAGACACCAGGTCTGTGCAACAAAGACAGGCTGTTCATACTAAAAAGATGAAATCTTTACTTGCGTTGCGTGTTCTTATTTTCTTCATGAAATACTGAAAATAAATGTGCTTTATTGTTGCATAAAATAATAATATCATGTATATAATATGTATGTTATGTCATATAAGGTGTAAAATGTTTCAGTTACCCGCATGGAATATCGGGAAACTGAATGTGTTAGCCTCATAAAATAAAGTCGTTACTTACTTACTTACTTACAGTGAGAGGTAAATTAACATGTACAATTATTACTATTAGCAATACTAATCTCTTTAGTATGAAGTATCAATCATGTAACTGTTTTCAGTCGTGGACTACCAACAGGACAAATATCAGGGCCCGATTATTGTTTGCGACACAAAGACAGGCCTTTAGAGAACAGGGCTCAACGTTCGGTTCAAGAAGATACTACACGGTCTTGGCGTTTAAATACTAACGTAAAAGAAGACAAGAAAATAGGAAAGTCCATTATCACCCATCACAACGTAGGTCTTTTTGTGATTATAATTAAGAAATAATATATCCCAAACTGTGATTTTATTGCTCAATAGACATTTAATTAACTGCACATTTACAATAATATCGATCTTTATTTAAGAAACTGATATTAAAAATATTGTATTGTGCTCAAATTTGATATTAGAAATTATCAAATGATTTATTATACGATAATTTTATATTCCAGTATTTACAATATGTGTCGCTGTCCATATGTGTGCTCGGTATGTTAACATTGATGTTTGCGAAGAGAAGAATTGCCAAGAAGAATGTGTTCAGTTATATTTATCACTGAGAATTACAAAAATTAAACCCCGGGTATATGTAAATAACATACTTTTATCAATAATCAACATTTACTAGTGTCATTTACATGTATTAAACGGTGGATGCAAAACATGGACGTCAGTTGTTTATCAGATTATGATCTCAAATAATTTTATGTATGCATGGTGTTATTTGCGGATGATATACGCTCTAATTGATTTTTTTCTACCTATCATAATACTTGTAAAACTATATATTAATTTTAAAAAAAGCCAAACTTTGTGCTTTTGAGAGAAAAAACAACATGTATCTATAGTGCAGTTCAACAGTAAAACATTAATTAAGACAGTATTGATAAAGTTTAACTACATGTTCATGAATCTGTTTTGTTTATGAAGTATTTATTAAAATAACAAGTGTATATTATATAAAAAAAAAGGTATTTTATTTCCTAGTTACATCCATATTTCTTAGGAAGTGTATGGTTTACATGTATATTATCCATTGAGGTAAATTAGCTTCATACACAATTTTGCAAAATTATATTAGGTGTGAAATTGCAGACCTCAGTCATGCAGATTTAGGCGAATTACAAAGATTTCTGCTATCCATTACTTGTCTAGAAAAATCTCTCAAATGTGATATCAAAGTAAAAACAAGTGTATAAGTAACTATTATAACAAGAGGTGTACGCGGATCATTGCTGGAAAGCATGAAAAAAAAACTCAAATAGAAAAGAATATAACCTGAAACAGGGGCGTAACTTTTGCAAAATATACTATTCGGATTATCTGTCCTTGTGATAAAGTGGTATGTACACCATGCAATTTCGAAGGGAATCGCTTTGAACATGAACCTTTACATGTTACCAGTGACCTTGAACTTTGACCTGAATATGTGTGTGACAGTTTGAACTCAAATAAGGTAAAGTTTCAATGTCATAGCTGTCTTAGTATTGAAGTTAATTGATGATAAACGAAAACTTCAGCAACGCCACCAAGTTGGTTATGACAATACCTTAGCTTTTTGTCATAAAATAAGGCATTTCTGTTAAGAAGTTTGATTAAGATAGACTAATATCTCCTTCCGCTATATTAGTGTACATAACAGAATTAAGTTTGGCATTGTGTTAATTACTTTTTCATTTTTTTTGAACATTTTGTTTTAATGATTAAAACAAGTGGTCATTCAAATCAAAATTTTTGTTTAAAATAAATAATATCATCACCATTTAACGTTGATTTTTTTATTAGCTCAAGACATCTTGTATTAATGAGAAATTATGAGAAATTCGTCTGAAATTGAGGCTACCAGTGGGGAAACAGATTTCAATATTCAAGTTACTATTGATAAAATTTCATTTAAACTTGTTTTTAAGCTTAAAATTAAAAGAAAATGTGTTTGTTTTTTTTTGTTGTGTAAGATGTTATTTATAAATTTCATCTAGTGAACTTCAAAAACAGTATTCTGGCTCGTGGCTACGCCACTCGTGAGAATTCAGTTTTTAAAGCTCACTTGATGAAATTAAATTTCATCTTACCACAAACAAACAAATATCCTCGTTATATCAAACGGTGCTATAAAAAATAAAAAATAATAAATTGTGTTTTTGAGTCAAACTTAAACAAAAAATTGTTAAAAAATTCAAACGTTATTGTTACTTATTCTAATTAATATTTAATCTAATGTAATTCAATTTAAAGCAAACATTTTTTCCCATCTATCATAACAAAATAGCTATAAAGTTCGATAGACACGTTCAATAATCTAAATGAAGCTTGATCAATCGATTTGTGATTTAAATGTGATTCATCCAAGTTTTAAGATAAGTTCAAAGTAATTTTAGCATAATAATAAAATTAAACCGTTTGTAAAAGTCTTTAATGTAAACTTTTATTGCGGACTATTTTTTCTGCTCTTTACTTTTATTGTCCTAATTACATATTTCACATCCTGACGATCGATCGAAGATAGTTAATCGATGTCGTCTGCTGCAGTGTTATTTCTGATTTTGTAAATTTTACATTTCAATACGAATGATTGGATAGTGCTGAAAGATACGTGGATATATCATTTATCTTTAAAAATTATTTCAAGAAGATTGAAGCAAATATCGAACATTTGTCACAGAAAGTGGTGTCAAAGTTTTATAATGTAATGTTAATTTTTTCAATCGAGTGATCGCAAGTTTGATCCACTGCTATTTTACCAAAAGTACTTGAGATGAACCTATAAACAGAGATCCCTTATGTAGAAACGCGGTCTTATACGTATACAGTACTCTAATACACAACAACAAGAACAAAACACACACACACACGCGCGCGCGCGCGCGCGCACACACACACCCACCACATTAGAAAACGACAATAAAAACAGCAACAACAAAACGCATGTTTTATATGTCAGTTGTGGCAACTTTAAGAAAAGGTAACGTGGCTACACTACACAATGCTTATAACAGAATAGAAGAAGAAGAAAAAGCGTTTACAGTATTATAACACATTGTTTATCAAAACCAAACTTTCATTGAAGTACTGTCACGAAGTGCCATGGTGCATTTTGTCGGAATTTTGTGATTTGATCATATTTTGACCTTATTATGGAGCAACATTAATAAATCGGGAAATATCCTTTTATGCTCTACTCCTTTAACATTTCGTATAGATTTTGAACCAAACTTCCACAGAATGATTATTAATAAGTGCCCTGTCACATATATTCAGGTATTTTTATTTGATCTTTTGTTGTTTTTGTTTTTTTTTTGTTTGTTGTTTTTTGTTTTTTTGGGGGGGTGGGGTTCTTCTTCATATGGGTAATATACCACACCAGCTTTTATCAACTAAAGAAACCTTAGAGTAATGAAGCAAGAAGGATAATATGTTCTGGAACTGTATCTGAATCGTTTGTTTGCGTGTGGGGGGAGCGGTTGTGTGTTTGCGTTTTTTGTTTGTTTTTTTAACATATCAATAGAAACAGACGCACGTATATTAAGTCCTTTGTGTATAGAATATTTGAATGCGTTGTCCATTGAAGCTTTGAAAATCGTTCAGTCTAATTTATTGGCAATCTATATTCCTCTCTTATGTGTTCTATATTCCATAACAACCTACATAGTTATTTAATATGGTTATTTAACAAAGGCAGATAATTAGAAAATGAATATTTCATATTTCCATTACACTTTTTAATTAACTTTTAAATACTTCCATGTAACCTAAATTCCTTTTTTATTCTAAATTGGTTCCTTTTAATATTTAGCTTTGTATTTCAGTATCAATAATAATGGGATAAATATAGTATTCAGCATATCTTGTTTTCATCCATTTTGTTGCAGATGGCAATATAATCTTATACAAACTGAACAATCATTGCGAAGATAGCTGATGAAGCTCTGATCATCCAACATAAGAAAGACAGATTTTTTTTGTTGTCTCTTGAATATAATAAACTGGCTATTTTCATGATATGATTTTATATTTTATCATTTTATATGGCTATTAATATGATAAAGAAAATGGAAAAAAAACATTTATTAACCTGTCGCTGGCTCATAAATGTGTCATAATTGACTAATAAAAGCACAATTTCTTGATTCAAATAACTTTAATGCAAATTAATAAAATTAAAAAAAAAAAAACTTTCAAAAAAAAAACTAGATGCATAATACTGGTACAGAGTTTATGTTAGTAGAATGATCATAAACTGCTCGTTGCTTTATAAAACGGTGAACAATAAAATGAAAATTGAAATAGAAAATCATTCTAATTTTCTAACATTAAATTTTTTTACCACGGTAAAATAATCACAAAATAACAGAAATCATGTTCGTCCTTGTAGAGGGGATATAACGCCTAAAATAAAGGGCCTTTTAACAAAAACATGCATTGTATGCACGGGCCTCGTTTCATTGACAAAATTATTTTGCGAAGTGTTTCCAGAAATAAAAGAATAACTAGGACAATGTTTCACTTTTATTTTTGTTATTTACTTTTGTATACAAATATCGTACATATTTCTATATTACCTTTTGTATTATAATGTTTGTTTTCTGTTGTTTTTGTGTGTAAAAAAGAAAGAAAAACAGATCTCTGTCAGATGGGTAATATATATGCCCGTTTTTATCTTTTTGAAATCAGTTTTGAAGATATTATGTTTCAATTTTTATAGGGCAGAAGTCTTCATACTCTTTCTGTCAAATTTTTAGACCTCTTTCCTTGCATGAGTTTTTTTTATTGTAAAACATAATGATGTATATCTTTGTTTAAAGAGGGTGCATTTCCAGTCTGATGCACCCTTTACAATATTGTGTAAGTGTTAATTTTAATTACATGTATTCTAAATTAAATAGAAAGTATAGTGCAAAAAACATGGCTGTCAGCTCATTTTTTAATTTTTATGTAACGATGGCATAGTAAGATTTATGAATGGTATCAGATTACATGGTTAATTTTAACATAATGTTACAACAATGACATGTGTTTATGTCATCAGTGTAGAGGCTGCTGTTAGTCCGAAGTCATACAAAATTAGATTGTGGATGGCTTCGGCTATTTCTAAATACTATATGATAAAACAGCGCTAAAACAGTATCCGAAAGATAAATAAACTTGTAAATGCATGACAATATTACCTATTTACAATTACTTTATACGATAATGATATTACATACACGGTTTATAACACATGCAAATTCATGACGTTGAATTACTAATGCATTTGATTATTAATGTTTCTGCTTCAAGACTTTTGCCAAAATTTAATGTACATTATACTAAGTCTGTAATATATAATAGCAAAATCGTCTAGCTTATCATTGTCTATTATATATTTGCTATTTATAAACAATAAGTATATATACAACAAACACTCAAATGGATAACTATTCCTCCACATCTTCCTCTGTCATATCACTACAAGTCTGTGCAAACTCGATAGAAGAATAGCAAGCATCTTTGACAGCCTATCCACTCCTCTTTACATTTTAATACAATCGAATTTGTAGCATTTAATGCCCATTGACCTTAATATATACTCTTCATCAGCATCTCTATCATCACAAAGGTATTTAGTGAATAGTCGGTGTCATCGTTGTCAGAGTGAGATTGATGTTTTTGTATCTGAAATTGTTTAATTTTAATTTTACGCTTATATTTCTTAAGAAGTGTCAGCTTTGCCTTGATCTTTCATTCTTTTGCCTTCTTTTTTTCTAACAAATTTTCAATCGTTTTAAGTTCTTCTTCAATGTTTCGTGCCTTTTTAGCTTCCTTTGCCTCTTTCTCGGTCTTTTTTCGATTCAATCTTTCTAATTTTTCTCAACTTTTCTAGCTTTTAGCAATATTTCCCATTTATTGACGTTGTAGTTATATGTTTTATTACAAGAACTTTCAAATTTTTGGACAGAGGGGATTCAATTACCCTTGAGAGGCGACATGGCCGAGTGATTAACACGTGGGAGTAGTAATCTAAGGAGCAAGCTAGCAGGAAACATTACACTCATTACCTAGTACTGGTTGGTCTCAGGCACAGATTCCAGAGTGTTTCAATAAGCTTATAGCTTCAAACACAAATGAACTTAAATAAACTAGTATAAATAAACTAGTATAAACTAATTACCTTTGATAATACTGCATCATCATCTTCATCAGGAGTATTGCTTATTGGAAGCACTTTACTGTCAGCTTCAACTTGTTCTATTTTTATCATTTGTTGCGAGCGGTTGATCTGAAATTTTGCAAATAAGTTTTTGGTTCGGAATAAGATTAAATGGAGTACAAATCTCAAAAATTATATTTCCAGTCCCGTCACGACAAAAAAAAAACTGTGGCTCCCTCCTTTTAAGATACAGACTGACTTACAATTATAAACAATTATAAATATCAACAGGTTTACAATTTGTTTTTCGGTTTCAAAAAGCATAATAAATAGGAGTATAAATTGTAGTTCTTAACTTTTACATCTACAAATTTATTTAATTTAAGTCGACTTTTACACAATGTTATGAAATTAACTTACTCAACATATCCCAGCGTAGCATCCAATCTGCTCATGGTCCTTATCCGAAGTTTGACGGAAAAGTCCGAGAAGTTGCGACTTTTTCAAACGTAAGCTTATTCAGACACTTTCGGATTTTTTCTTTCTTTTTTTTTCTTTCTCTTTCTTTCTTTCTTTCTTTCTCTTTCTTTGTTTCTTTCTCTTTGTTTCTTTTTTTTTCTGAAAAAATCATCAAAACAACAGTTAAAGACATACCTCAAGCGGTCCTTATAGTTTCGGTGTGACAAAACAAACAATTAGAAAGAGAGCAACAACAACTAAAAAGTAAAAATATATGGCGTGTGTTCCAAAATTAAAAAAAAAATGTGACATAAAAGCCGTTTTTATTGTATAATTTTACATTTATGTTGTAAAAATACCTTTTATGTTGTAAATGATATATATTATATACTGAGTAACGAATATATTAATTTGACATCCAAAGGAATATTGGCAGTTTCGGTAAAATTATTATTGAAAAATATGTCTGACATATGTTTTCAATGGGCTTGTACACGATGAAATGAAATAAACTACCTCAACAATCAATATATTATTTGTTATTATTTGTTTGTTAGCGAAATACCATATCGGTTCTGTTCCGAAGATTGGCGGAAATGGCCGAAAATTTGCGATCAACACGGAGAGCTACGAAAATGCCGATTTTCCATGATATTACTGTATATTTTAGTGGTTATCATGAAGATGAGACAAGTTCAATACAATAAAATTTAGTTAAGTAAAATAAAATTTTGTGTAGGTCGGGAGTAAACATTTTGGGTTCGTTGAATATTTTGCTGATTCAGTGGCTTAAAAACTAGAATGATTTATACTAAAAAAAAACTACAAACCGCAGACAAACCGCCCGATTATGATAATAGATAAATAGAGGCTGATTGGTGATATACCACAAACTGTTGTTGTAGGCGTTACCCGTCAAAGCTATAAACACACGTCAAAGCTATTAAAATATGTTCCGCTTCAATACGTCGCTATACCCTTGTATTAAAGTACTCGGCATAAAATGCTACTTATTAAACATGAGGAATACAACACGAAAACAAGTGTAAGATATTTGTAAACATGGTAAGTTTTGTTTGTTTTTCATTTATTTATTCTTATATTTTAGGCTTATTATTGGTATTTCTCCTAAAATGTTGTCTCATATCCAGAAAGCACACGAGGCTACCATTGCGTCCGCCCACTGATTTATTTAATTATTCCACGATGAAAAGAAGTTCTTAAGGTGGCAAATACAATATAAAATTGTCTTTAAACTAATTATTTCTGTCCGTAGCCTAAAATAATATCTCTCTATATATAGATATTTGAATGTACTCTTAAAATGTTATCATAAAAAGATACAATAAAAAAATGTTATGTTTCCGAACAGCCCGCATTAAATTTTGTCTGATATGAATAAATAACAAAAAAGATTATTGCCATCGCGTGCCTTAAACTATTTCTTCACTCTTATTTAATGACAGCTTTAAAAGCGAATACCTAACAAAGATTGAAGCTGATGGCCAGTAAAAAAAAAGTAATGGTGAAATATTTGTGCACGTCTAATTTAACACATTAAGGCAATACACACTTCAAAAAGCAACAGTGATGATGTTCACGACGTGACGTGCTCGCCGGCCAGGGGCGGGCCTTTAATGGCTAACGTAAAAGCCGCGGGGGACTTAACGTCTTAAACGTTTTAAGTATATTGAATTTATTTGCGGAAGTACAAACTACAATTAAATTTACATACAAAGTGAAAGACAAAGTGGATGTAAACATAAGAAAGGTAGAGTAGTATTTTTATGACATTTTTATTACTTTATAAATAAACACTATTGTTCATCATTAAATGCAGTGGGTTTATTTTAATCAGGTACCTGTTAATCTACTTTCCAGTTATAATATAATAGTTTATATGATAACCCGACTGTTCATCTATATAGTCTTTGTTTATCATTTTTGCAAAGTACTCCCATATTTTTAGGTATTATTTTTGCTGCATTCAGATATAAATTATAATGATGTCTGAGGAAATGTTCCGATAAACAATCTCCTTGTTTTTTGCTTAATATCACTGATTATAAAAAAACTTATAAAGACAGTGAAAAGGTCTTTAAAAAATCGCATTTTCAAAATTTCAGAAGTGATTTCTTTTATATTTAGCTTTATGTTTTTAACAAATACATATAGTAAAAGAAACAAAAGCGTTATGATTTGAAGTGATGTATATTATTTGGGTACGACAAACGTATAATCTCGTTTAAGATACATAAACATGTACAGCCACTTAATTAATGTATCTTTCCCATTTTAACACATACATTTTGCTTAAAGACATAATAATTATATACCTTATAAGTTTACTCGAGATATTATACCCCTTCAGATTAAACACTTTTAAATGTGAAGGATAAGTATGTCTATGATATTAAACATAGTAAAGATGATTGTCTATATCAAAAGGGGTGTTCATATTTAAATATAAAAAGTAATATTTCTGAACATAACTTATATATATATTCCTAATTATAAAGAGTATAAGTTTCTAAACCAATTATAAATGTATCTCGTATGTGTACATGAATGTAATATTATGAAAGTTGGGGATTTATTCTATATATACACATATAGGAATGTCTATACATTAATGGTGCAAGCTTTTTTCCAATTAAAGTTTTTTTATATCTAAACTTAAATCCATGTATGCGTTAACCTGAATATATTTTTCTTTTCAAAAAAAAGGCTAATCTGAAATATTTGTCGTCTCCGGTACCCTCACAGGGAATCGTGTTCATATGATATATACATGTATATCTCTTTGTCTTACCGATGGAAAAAAACAACAATAAAGATACAATCAAAAACAATAAAAACGCAAATGGCAATTTATAAAAGGAAGACGATTGTTACCATGACTCTTGCGAGGTATGACTTATATAAAACTAGCGTTAGCTTGTATCACCTTTAAACTGACTTCATTCAGTGAAAATCAAGTAATATATTCACTGCGACAATTTGAATATCTGGACCAACTTTTTTCTATTCTACAAAGTAGCTCTAGTTATTTAGTTATTTTTAGTGTTTACTAGGACTTAAGCTGCCAGAATAACCCCATACAAGTTTTAACATCACTGCATTTTAACTAATGTCTTAAAGCAGCATGTCAAATTCATGCTAACGTTCATGAAAATTTTGAAAATCTATGCAAAAGTAAACCACTGTAAAGTGAACAAAAAAGTAACTTTTACACTGCAAACGGCATTTGCAATCCACGTAAATTGCCAAAATGCAAAATTAAAAAAAATTAATCCTGATTGCGTTAGTAACACATTAGAAATATGGTAATAAATATTTAAAAAAATGCACATAATATTTAAATTATTATTTGAATCTTAAATATTTTTACTTTTCTTAAAATCTATTACATGTACATTTTTCTCAAGTTTGATTTTTTTTGGCAACACCTAGCGACATGCAACTTTAAAGGTTGATTCGGAGATTTTTTTCTATTTTGTTTTTGAAACACATTGATGTAACAGTACACAGTTTTAAAATCAAAACCAGATAATCCATTACCACAAGCTGAATGGTAAAATTTTGCAATAAGTCGTACTTTTTAAATGTCCGTACACAGCTCAATAAAACCTATATCGGCTAGCGTACTGTTCAATATTGGTTTTACCGCTGTGTGGTCGTTAAATAGAATTCAGAATTGTACTAACAGTAACCTCATACTATCAGCTACTTCTAATCATTTTTTCTACATAGAAATCGATCGATATTTAACAAGCTTTTTGTTGCATCTGGTGATGTTAATTATATTTAAAGGCACATTATGCCTCAGAAATGCATAAATATTTACTTCTTTAGAAAGAGAAAAAGAGAGTTTTATAACGTTTAAGAAATGATTTAAGAGCATGTTAGATGCTTTTTACCTGAAGAAAAAAGCACTAAATGTAAAACATGTTACAAAAGTCGCAGTATGTAAACAAAGTAGTATTTTGACTTCCAACAACAATTTGATGTTCGAAAGAGTGTACGTGTACATTTTATACCCGGAATGATACAAGTAGTATGAACTATTGTGAGTGTATTCAGTAGTATGAACTATTGTGAGTGTATTCAGTAGTATGAACTATTGTGAGTGTATTCAGTAGTATGAACTATTGTGAGTGTATTCAGTAGTATGAACTATTGTGAGTGTATTCAGCTCAAGTAGTATGAACTATTGTGAGTGTATTCAGCTCGCGACGTATCAAGACCTATGCCAAAAAAGAAGTGAATTTATACGATTTCAAGTTGGAAATTTCTTGAATTTCCTTTTATCCATGTTAATAACTGTTCCTGTGTTTGTCAATGTGACCGTCGATGATTCTGGACTCAAGTCCTCGGATGATTTGTCGTATGCATCTAAATAAAGGCCTATATAAATATTTACGTTTTAAACAAATGCCATTTAGTTATCTATTGTTTTATTTTTTAAAATATTAAAAATAACAGTTAGATACAAGTTATATCACACTGTTTAAATTTTGGGATTGACATAGATTTATTTTTAAAGATATTTCAAAGGAAACATGACAGAAACATGGCGTCACGAATAACCATGGCATCAAGTGAACTTTGATGACGTCTACGTATTTTAATTAAAAACAAACTATTAAAATCTACGTAGCAAAATAATATCTTTAACATTTGTTTAGCATGATTTATATACTTTACTAAACGGGTATGGTGTTCCAGTTTGTAACTTAAATAATAACTGTATAATGTTTAATTGTATTTTGTTCAAGAAATAAATTAAATGATTATGATTCTATAATCGTAAATGCCATAAAGATGATTAAGAAAACAAAATATAATTGTGTATTGAAAAAAATCATTGACATAAAAATGAATGCTAATTTCAAAATAAAGTTTTGCGATTTTGAAATGTATTTTTTTCAGTTCGAAATGCTTTCAGTAGCCTTTCCACTACTTCTTTAGCTTCCCTTTTTGGCTTGCAGCCACGGCTGCAAGCCATTTCATATGGAAAACTTGTTCCGGTTAGGTGTTTTTCTGCTTACATTTGTAAGTGCATGATTGAACGGGGAACCAGCTGCAATCGTGCCAATCGCAACTTTTCGGCCTTTTTCGTCACTCTTCGGATTAATGATAATAGCCATGTAGTTCCGATTGCAATCGTGACAATTCGGGCGATTCCGTCATACTGCAGAATCAATCCCAACTACTCGGCCCTTTCCGTCAGTCTTTGTTAATATTATAGATAATAGCCGAGGCAGTTCCGAATGCTGCGGGATCACTCGAAGTAATATTACGGAAATCTAAGCTATTTTAGTTACTTTGGTAATCCCAGTTTGTTTATATAAATAGGATTCGTATTTTTACTTGATTTATTGATTTAAACCGTAATAAATTATAAACGAAATTGTTCCGTTTCAATTCTTTTTCAAGACACAAAAGTTAGTTTCTTTTATAATTGTTTTTGTCTGTATTAGTTTTATACAATAGAGGATGTTGATTGTAGTAGTATTAGTGCATGATCGAGTTATATTTAGATCTACTGAACTTGGTGAGGTAATCTAAAAATAGTCCATGCATATCATTAACCTTATCACGTGATGATCTATAGATAGCGCATCGTATCTGTGAACATGCTTATTGGCGTCCGCGCCGAAGCGCGGCGCTCTTATGGAATGAAATCAGATTTTGTGAAAGGGCGACAGCAACTTCTCGAGCCTTTTAGTCGGTCATAATAAAAGCCGATCATTCCGATCGGTATGAGGGTGCTTGATTATTAATTAAGAATGAAATGTCGCGATATGTTACAATGAATAACGAACTGGAGAATTTCGCAATGCAAACATTTTCAAATGAAATAACCTTTTCCGTCAATAAATCGCGCTCTTAGGGGTTTTTTATTTATCATTTTGTAGTACACAGTGGGTTATCATGGTATGTTATTGTTGTACATGTCAGTTGATAACCTAAATATTCCGAAAATCTATTTATAGATATATCTATTTATCACTCCTATCGGTAATTCCCGGTCTCTCCCGGTCTATTTTGACCGGGATTTACTAGTGACCGGCGAATAGTACCCGGTCTCTCCCGGTTTTGGAGTGGATGTTTGATAAGCATGTTTCATTTTATCTGACAATAAATATGTACAATAATTGAGAAAAAGGTACATTTTTATGGTATTAATATGACATTATCAACTTTAAAACATTTTATTTAATTTGTTATCCGTGTTTAGTAAAGATGCCGAGGAATTATTCAAAGTTACAAATTAGATTTTATGAATTATTCAATTGATTGATAATTTAAAAAATTATAAAGAAAAATACAAATGTACATGTACATGGTTTAAGAATAAACAATATTATATATTGAAAGATAAACCATAATTTACTGACTTTTTCCAGTTATAAGTTTTGATTTATAATCGTCGGTCAATATGTCAATTGAATTCTTAAAATTTATTTTACAATTTTAATAAAAAAAGAGTAGTAAAAACTCAGTATTAAAAAAGCACACAAAACACAAAAAAGAAAAGAAAACAATATTCATAAAATTTGTATTTTTTTATTAATGATAGATATTAGAATTTAATACTGTATAATAAACAATTATGCTCAACATGATCAACATGGTAATATAACCAGTGTCATATTTTTACTAAGTGTGAACAGATACCTTAAGAGGGGGTCTTCGATAATAGCGATAACATAATAAGGGACAATTACAAAGGTGTGGTACCGTACGCGTTGATCATGCGTTACACATATGGATTATAAATGATTGTATACATGTATATCCGTTGCTATTAATAACCGCGATCATAAAGAAATAACAAGTAATATTCTAATCTCTAGCATGCCAATCAAAGTTCATAATGAACAATGTCTTTCGTCCGGTCATTCATAAGTGATCTACTTTTCTGGTATTTTATAAGAATATCTTGTCATCATATGTCTACTAGTTCATCTTCACTTGCTGCATTTCTTGCTTGGACGCCCTTTGATGCTTTGCATCAATGCTTTTCTTGTTAATTATTGGTACCACGTAACCAAGTGGAAATGAAATGTGCACACTTGTTTCCTTTCAGTATGATAGATAGATCTCCACGTTAGTATTTTTACGATTGATTATTTTCTTTATTAGTTTTATACAATAGAGAATAGATTTCAAATCGTTTTGACAAAAATATTCGTTTTAACAAAAATAAAAACAACTAAATATGTTGGGATGAAGGCACAACTGTGCAAGCCTTTCCTTTTAAAAGGAAACTTTATTTCGTCCTGTCTTTCATTTTTTCTAACATTCAATGGTTGCTATTCTGGTATTTACTACTTGAAAACTATTAAATTCTCTTTAAATTCCTCCCCATACTTTTATTTTATCGAACAATGATTTAAAACCATTTTTGTGTGGTTTTGATTTACATTTAGTTTTTAATAATTAATTATTTTAATATCTTTTTTCCACTTCGGTGAAATACACTCTTTTACACGACATGGTTACACTTTTGCAATGTATATTGAATGATGTTATGCAATAAAACCGATCGGTGAACTTTTGAAGCCTCCCTCACGAGAGGTAAGGTTGAGTTAACATAACGAATACCACTTTACACATGAATATCAAGATTTTGAGTAATAAAAATGAAAGCATTTCTGGGGCATAATGGGTCTTTAATTAGAAACACTAAAACCACGATTTGATGTAAAAAATCATCTCCTTTTTTTCTAATATCTCTGATGCAAAAGCCATCTTCTTAACATTTTAGATTGAATGATAAAACAAATGGTGCATTAACACAATAGCTATACAATAGCTACGTGCGCACGCGATAGCTACTACGTTGGTCAGTCATTACGTGCGCACGTAATAGCTATCGCGTGCGCACGTAATAGCTTGTACGTGCGCACATAGTAGGTATCGCGTACGCACGTGGTTGCTATCGCATGCGCACGTGGTAGATTAAATGGTATTTACTTTGAAAATGAATGAAAGTTACGACGTTATCTTATTACAACATGATTTCATTACTAGGATTAGTAAAGTCATGGTTGACTAAATAACATTTTGAGTTAAATATAGTTCAAGATCACTTATTTAAACTTAATAAGTTATTATCATCATTGACAGGTTACATGGCCTGGTATAAAAGGTGAAATGGTAAACAGTCGATTATACACAGTCATGTAATCTGTAAAAGTTTTGTCATTATAATATGGCTTTATAACACCGAAAAATTCACGTTACAAACGTGCTGTATATCAAGACAAGACTGTAGAGTCAGGATCAGACCCGTGGTCTAGTGCTAACGTGCTGGACTAGTAATCCAGGGGTCGCACGGTCGATCCCCCACTCAACCATTACAAGTATTAATGCCTTAAAAACTGGAGGTTCCATAAATCGGGTCACATATAGAACGGGGAAACTGCGGTATCCGTGCACTCACTCTAAAATAACAACTTACTCTTTGTGAACGTCATAGAAATATGCAGCCACAAATTCGTTAGTAATTAAATCAAAATAAAAAAATACATTGATGACTTCTCATGGACTTATAAAATAAATGTATCAACATCAAATAAATAATAGTACAATATAGTACATGTACTTGTATGGTAAACTTATAAAGTTCTGACAATCGATCAATACTGGTAGAACAAACAGAAATAGTCTACGTGAATTCATATATTTACCATCTTTTTTTAAATATCGTTTATTTAGATAGTATCAAATAAAAAATATCAAACATGCTGGTATATATGAAATAAATACATTTGTATTGATGTCTGTCTATTCACAAAATATTAATCTCTTTTCAATAATATTCATAATAAATCTTCAAAAGTGCATTCAGTTAATTTATATGAGCATTAAATTATCAATTAAAAGAAAGAGCAAATATGTCTTAAAAGAAGGTCTTGACTATTGATAAACCGGAACGAGTGAAGTAAACATTCAGGGTGGAATTTATAACATCGATTGATTCATTTGCATATATATATCCAACGTACATTTTTGACATGAATAAAATACATGTATTACACAAATGTTAAAGCATAAAGTTTAAGTTGATAAAAATGTTACCATGGATCAATTACTTTGATATATATACAGGATATTAAGAAAACAACTTGGACTGTGAGTATTTTATAATATCTTTGTGATAGTCATTTATTATTTTCAAATATCAAGTTATTACACCTGAAATGTCGACTTTTCAAAACCCCGATGCTTATCATTCATTAATTAATCTTTTAAATCCGAATCACCATTGCTTAGAAATCGCTATAAAAAGCTCACATTACATGAGCATTTGTTTGCTGGTTAAAAAATAACACATTTTCATTCTGCAGGAAATGCATACATGCGAGTGTTTAAAAAATTCATAATCTATACTTTAACTTGAGAAATTACGTAACATACCATGACATTACCGTGGATTAAGCACCGAGAAAGCTGATGATGCGACAAGTTAACATCAACTGAAGCGAAACTTTATATTTTATTAATACAGCAAGTAAATTTAGATGTGCACGGTCAATTTATACAAGATATTTATATGGATAAATATTTGAAACTGGCATAGAATTTTGGTACTTTCTTACTTATTTCTAATGCAAATATACTCTTTCTTTTTCTCTCAAAAGATGGGTACACGTTTAAGATGTCACCTGATAATAGTGCTGTTGTTTTCCGCGAGTGTGGATGCTGAAAATGTTGTTGGTAAGTTTCCAACTTTCCTTATTTTTATTCGGAACTTTTGTACCGATAAGAAAGTTTTATTTAGACTACTTTCCGTTTAAACGCAAGGTGGTCATTTTGTGCTTTGTCAAACCCTATGGGGCTCCTTTCGAATAGAGCCCTAAAACGTGCACTGTTAGTAGTTCTTGTCGTGTAGAGCTCACTAAGGATATCTATTGGGCGATTTTCAATAAATAGTGCTCCTAAAACTAATGAGGAGTCGTATTCTTCTGAGTTACCGTTGCTTTATATCAGTTTCTCAATTATATTATGCAAGATAAAATTCATGATATTTTTTATGACGATACATTCACTGTATGAAAAACATATGATGACAAGATATAAATTTCAATAACATACGTGTTTTTTTTCTGTTCGTCTTGCACTTTCTGTTTGAAAAAAATGGGACATTTGTGGTTGTTAATTCTACATTTCTTTCTCTATTTGTTTAATGTCTGGCTGTTTGTTGTCAGTCCTGATTTAATTCTAAATGAAAATTATATAAATATGTTGATTGAAGTCTATCATAATCATTGGCATAAACGAGAACGAGCAGATAACTCCTGTTGTTGAACATATTATTATGTGTTTCATTAATACAAGAAGAAATATTAATATTACAGCGGGGTTTTTTATCATAGCATAATGAATAAAAATGATATTTAAAATGTTGAGAAATATTTTGATATACATGAATGTTATAATATCACTTAATGACTTCATTGCAGGTGTCGGAAACATAAAGAGGTTACATGTCAATGTACCAGTCAACAACTTCCAGAATCAGTTCCTTGACGTACACAATCAACCTGTAGTTAACCTTATAAGGAAATCGGGTGGGTCAACCTTTGACCTGACCGTAGACAGACGATTTGTTTTCAAACCTCCTATACGCAAGGCGCCATTTTCTTCAGTCGGCGAACCTTGGCCATTACCGCTGTATTACAGGTATGAACGAGACGCCGTACTAAATATTAACAAGTCAACATTCAAAATAGAGGCACTCAACAAAACCTGCGACATCCTTACCGAAGCAATACAAAGATATAAAAACATTATAAATAATTACATCATAGAAGAGCAATATGATTTTACTTACAATTTTAATGAGAATGCGTTCAATGTCCATAAGAAACAAGAGGAAGCTAAATACAATCACGTGACAAAGATGGCCGACCTGGAGATTTACGTCGCAGATGAGGAATGTGGGTATCCGCATATTGATATGAAGGAATCTTGTAAGTTATGAGTTTAAATTTCAATGTTTTATTTACCAAACATTTCATTTTCAAATGTGTATCATGACTGCAGTTGGCTTCTGTAAATATAAAACTTAATAGATAAGATGGCAAATTTAAAGAACGCTTGAAAATGTTGCAGGCTGCTTCAGCCTGTTCATGGACGGCAGTGGTATAGCAATCTTACGCTATCTGTTGAATAAAAATTGGTAATTGCAGGTCAGTAATTTGGCTTAAAATGTGGGATGTAGTTATAAAATGAATGTTTCACGTGATTTGAAACTGTATTTTCCTCTAATGTTTTATTTGATTATTTTTTTTTATCAAATCAAGTAATGTATATTTACTTTGGTTGTAACGGTTAACTTACAGAAGATAAAGATGGGCTATAGATATATACTTTTGATTATTTGTATCCATTTGGAAAATAGTACAACCATGATCCTACATTTGATAAACTTAATTGTGACGAACGTTTGGGATCATTTATATATAAACAGAGAGATGAAGTTCACGGTTGAGGAGGTGGATGGGATTTAAATGTTTAAGGTCCATCACTCTATTGTGTTTATATTCAACAAAAATCTGTCATTTTCGCGTACAATTGTACATTGAATTAACATACAAGAAAACAATGAATTGACAGAGGTTATCATACATATGCTTCATTGGTCTTTAAACGCGGGGCACAGAAACATACAACATTTTCAATTAGATTATACTGGGTTAGTATTAATACAAAAAGAGCACCAGAAACAACAACAAACATAGTACAATTACTATTTATAAAATTTCATTTAGTTCCGCCCATTGTTTTCTCGTTTAGGGCACATGCATTCTTTTAACTGGGGACCATACGCGGAATGGCACTACTGGGTCGCATTGAAAGGTGCCATGATAACCGCCGTATGAACACATATGAACTGCAGATGTTTCTAAATTCAAAATTTCACCGTTTTCGTTTTCAAATGTTGGATTCTGTTTAAGCCGGTGCTAGGGGCTTGGACGGTAACTTGCACTTTTCAGTACCGTCCATGAACAGGCTCAATCAAACCGAGTCTGCAACATTACCAATATTGCCGTGTTGAGGTTTCTTTAGGGATTTTGTTTTTCTCTATTTTCAGATAAGCTTATCGTTCGTCCTGGTGTGACGAAACTGACGTCAGAGCAGGTGTGGGGAGCGTTACGTGGACTCGAGACGTTCAGTCAACTTCTCTTCAGGAAAGCCAACACTGATCAGGTAAACTTAACTAACGAAATATACACAGTCAAGTTTGAGTATAATTATAAAGACATCATCTCTTAGGTAAAGAGAAAATGTGTAATCACAAGACAAATGGTCATTTAAGGCAGGCAAATTGCAAAACATTAAAACTTGAAGTATAAAGACAAGAGTCTTACATTGTAAGTGGATATTTTGCAGGTTTGACTGTACTTGTCGTTGGAAAACGTTAAATAATAAATGATATTGTCATATCAGACATTACTATTCAATTATCAAAATGAAATATCCGTTTTGAAAATCTATTTACTATTTCCTTGCCCGAAACCGCACCCTCGTTTCAATGTTTTTTTCTTTATATTTTAATTTTTTGTTTAGTATTTGTTTGATGATGGTTTTTACCGCGGAAAAACGCCAGTGAATAAAATTCTTTTTCGCCGGTTTCAAGAAAATCTTAAACCATTTACAGACGGCTAGAGGAACTGATTAGGCAACAAAGGTTGCAGTTTTTGAATAACGTCACAAAGGAAGGTTCCTGGAAACGTTACGAGATTTTGTCGTTAGAAAACGGCGATTAAATTGATGTTATTTCGTGTTGCGTTGTTTATTCCGCTAGTTAAATTACCTTAATTATAATTATAATGGAAAGTTGTCAAACATTAAAGCTTAAAATTTATTTTGCCGCGATTTTTTACAACTGTTAAAGGTTGATCCTGATTAACCTTGAATTGATTCGATAATCATCAAAGCTATACATATATGATTATTTGGATAAAATTTTGAGCTAAAGAGCTTTGTTTGACTTTTCATTAAACTGGTATATAAGGTATATTGATATCAAGAAAAATTCACAAATGAACAGTCAATTTTTTAACTTCTTGCCTACAATCCTGTTAAGGTTTTTTAAGGTAGTCTTTGTTGACAGTTTTCATAGACTTTAATCTTACTGTATATAAAGTTCCTTTCACGGAAAATGGGTATGAAGTTCTTTTGATAACTCACGAGCCGTTACGGATTTCGCTAGAAAACTTTTGTATATACACATTGATCTGTTCATTTGTGATCTTCTTTCTTGCCATACTTAATTACCTTAATTACCTAATTATAATGGAAAGTTGCAAACATAAAGCTTACAAATTTATGCCCGATTTTTCAACTGTCCTAAAGTTATCCTGATAACCTTGAAGATGTCCGATAACATCAAGTAACTATATGAACATTTGAAAAATCGGGCTTAAATGTGTAAGCTTTATGTTTGCAACTTTCCATTATAATTAGGTAATTAAGGTAATTAAGTATGGCAAGAAAGAAGATCACAAATGAACAGGTCAATGTGTATATACAAAAGTTTTCTAGCGAAATCCGTAACGTTTTCCAGGAACTCTGTGACAGTTATCATAAGAACTTCATACTTCGTGTAACAGTTCCTCTCCCGTGATAAATGGGTTTAAGCTTTTATGACCCGAGCCGTGCAAACATGTTCAATTGTAATTAGGTATTTAAGAATGGCATCTAAAAAGACCACAAACGAAAAGGTCAATAAGTACGAATGAATCGTTTCAATAAACTAGAAATAATTCTACATTCTTGATAAAAAAATAAAGTAAAACCACTAAAACTTTACGTAATCACGCACGCACATGCGCGCACACATGCAGACATACAAAAATACATTTCTAATAACAAAAGAACATTTCCAACAGAAGTCGCCATTCTAAAATACATTTATTATACTAGTGTAGTTTTTTAATGACAAGGTATGTGTAGTTTTGTCCCAGCTGAGCATAGTTTTTAACTTTAACGAGTAGAGCAGATCTGCAGGTTAATTAGGCACTGACAATATATCACACAACGATCATATAACGATCATACAATGAGAATAGCTAATGTGTCGTCAAAGTATTATGGAGCCGGTCACTTCATATTGAGAGTTATATCAGGTGATTAAGAGCCAATTACATCGATCTATTGATCAATACATTTTCAGACAGAATATCATGGTGTAAATTATTTAGGAGAATAACAAAGATATGATGGGACATTGAATAATATAATGATAGAATCTGGTCATGTGTATACACACGACAGAAAGTTGTCAGATCGTTTGTCATCATCGTTCTATCTCTAGATCAAAACGCTTTTGATGTCATTACGTCGTATTTCAAAATATCCATTTTAACAATGGGATTTTATATATCAGTCGCATCAAGCCTAAAGTACGTGGCCGAATGAGCTTAAACTGTGCGAAAAGTTTTAACTGAAATGAAATGAAAATGAAATGAAAATGAAATGACAATGATGATGTTTGTGATGATATTTTCATTACAGATATATGCCAGAGTGACAGACATTGAAGATACACCTCGGTTTCCTCACAGAGGAATTCTGATAGATACATCAAGGCATTTTATCTATAAAAAGACCATAAAAGATGTTTTGGCAAGTTTATTTTCATTAGTTCATGTAGACATTCGCGTCGTATATAGAATAAACTTTTGAATGAAAGTTACTTACATTGTGTATAAACATGTATAGCAAACTGTTAATTGTCCTCTCTCTCCGAATAGATATTTAGTTATCCAATATGTTTGATGTCATTTTGACACGGTGTAACCATTTAGTCTTTTATTATTATTATTTTTTATTTAAATATTTATACATGTGTATCTATATATTGATGTTGCGTTTATACAAAAAAAAGATGTCATTGAATTCACTGAGACGTGACAAAGTTACTTGATTTACTTGATCATGATAATACATGTTATGTGGTTTGGGTAATATTATTAATTGTTTATTCTACCCACTGCTTTTTATGTTACACAACAATTCACCTGGGCATTATTTGAACAGTCACACCACTGATTACAAGCCCTTCAAGAACATTATTTTCCCGTGATGTGTCATGCGGTGCATCTTATGAACATGAACATCTTATTAATATTGTATTTCTCTCTTTAAACAGGACGGTATGGCTTACAACAAAATGAATGTTTTACACTGGCATATTGTAGATGACAATTCATTCCCGTACCAAAGTGAAGTATTTCCTAAACTGAGCGAGAAGGTAAACACTTTATTAAATTTCAGACAAAGTATTTCTTTGTTTGACTTTTTGGATTTTATTTCGATCAAAAAAATAAGCAACCATGTTACACACTTGGCTTTGCTCATAACTTTTATACTAATGTATCCATTATTGCATACTTCTTACGGAATGTTAATTAGCTTGAATAATTTATATATTTTCATGTACCGTGTCGAAATATCCAGACATTTATAACGTCCAGAACGTCAACAAACAATTGATAATAGATATGCTTCAATATTGCAGGGAGCTTACCATTCCACCCTGGTGTATACCATAAAAGATATAAAAGAAATTGTAGAATATGCCAGATACAGAGGTATCCGAGTTATTCCGGAATTTGATACGCCAGGTACGGCAAATAGCCATTTCAATGTTGCTAATGAAATTATTTTATTTTATAACTTTCTTAGTCGTGATAGTACATTGACAGAGAAAAAAATCAGAAAAAAATAAGTATAACATATAAAATATGGACCTGTACTTACCTCATGTCTTTAGAAGTAAATTATTCCCTCCTATACTTGATAAAGCATAAGGAATGAACCGATTTGACATAATATACAATTTAATATATTTTTTATCAGTTTCTCTATCATTATTATAGGACATACGTTTTCCTGGCTGGGATATCCGGAAATCAAGAGTACGTGTTATGCCGGCAATCAGCCTATACAAGGCCCATTAGGTCCAATAAACCCCGCTCGAGATGAGACGTATACGTTCCTTGCCAAATTATTCAGTGAGATATATGACGTGTTTCCTGATAGTTACGTTCATTTAGGTGGTGACGAGTTACACACTACGTGCTGGTATGGCACTACCATTATTAGATCTTTTTATGTCTTAATCAATGTACAAGCTGAAGCTACAACTAATGATTATTAAAAACATTGTATATAAACTTTACGGAAGCGTCCTGATGCCAGTTTATAATGTTCTATAAAAAATAGGATAACTCCTATGTAGGAGACAAAAAAAAAGCCTAATTAGAAGTTTATAAAATATGTTATATACTTAACACCCAATCCTTTTTCTAGATGAAAAATTCATTGTAATGCCTTAGGTGAAAGTCTGGGGAAGTGTCTTGGGGTGAATGTAAACAAAATCACCGATGTGTCAAAAAAAAAAAAAGAACAAAAAACTGTCCCTTTATTTATTACCAATGCTGATTTGTTTTCTCTCCACACAGCACACTTAAACCGATTTCATTGGCACTAGAGGTCAATTACAGCAGTTTTTGAATAACGTTTTTCTAGCCATTCCAGGAAATATGTGCTGTGCTCAAGTATTTAAGGTTCACCCACCTCTATTTATATAACTTGGCGATCGATGCGAATGATTCCTGACTGTATACAGTTGATATTACATGTATATAAGTATTTAGTGTTGTTTTCTTTTTAACTTTTAATGTCTACAAAGTAAACCATGCTGATTTTTCTGTTAATTGTGCACAAAATTAGAAAATGCATAAGAACGATTATAAGTTTATCTTTACCGACAGGGCGACAAACCCTCAGATAGTGGCGTATCTCCAGACAAATGGTGGTCTCCCTGAGACAGAGGCAAGAAGCAATGCTGCTAGTTATATCAACAAAGCTATAGGATACTATTTCAAGAAGTAATATTAAAATTAGTACAACTTTATGAGACTCGTATTTTTCCGGCATATCCCGCCACTTCCGGTGCTCTTTTTGCTTATATGATAATTTTAGAAATACAACAACATTTAGTTTAAACATATTTATTTTACAAAAGTATATATATTGTACATACAAATAAACAATAAATGGCATATGCTTTAAAGATAAGGTCTTTACATGACCAGGCTGATGTATCAATGTGTTAAATATAACCTGAGCATTGTCGTATTTCTGTTAGGTCTAATTGACAACAAAGAAAATTAAAACTAAATAGATGTGATTATCTGTCATTTATGTTTTTGCTTCATTCTTTATTTTGAGTTACAAATCTTTCCCTTTATTATTTACTTTTAATACTTGCAATTTCAAATAAAAAAACACCCAATTAATACCTCAGAATACCAATTTTTTACCTTGTGACACTAGTCCAAGATGTAAAACAATCAATAGATCAGTTGAATAAATGAATTAAAATTTTGTTTTTCTTAGGTTGGTTATTTTATGTGCAAATTAATTAATCGGAAATGCACACTGCTGTTTTATGAATGTCAAGAAGGTTTATTAAAATTTGTCTTCAGTTCATATCTAATTGTTCTTTGATTTGTATCTATTTAATTATTGCGTTTTTCCAAAATAAAACTAGCGTCTTGTAATTACTGACCGCACGTGTCATTCATCTAAAAAGTATAAATGACAAGATTATATGAGATATTTCAATATTTCATTACAAGCAAAAACTATAAAGTCTAGTCAAAAACTGTCAATTGCACCGTCAAAATTTAGATTTAACTGTCAAATGTAATAACTGATGAGTAATCTTAATTTGTTAAATTTGACACCTTGTAAATTGACATTACATTTTAACAAATCAGCAAGATACAAGAAAGCTTACAATTAATGTTTTAACCAGTAATAATGTATAGTTTACATATCTGTTTTACATATACACTGAATATTGACATATGCAGACTTATTAGGGAGATAAACATAAATTGTTATTTCTGGTTATTCATTTACTTTCCTTCTTGTGATGGATGAAGACCAAAGGTACTCCTCTGTACACATTATTTTAGCTATCTGCTCATAGAGCTGACACCTTAGTAGAACCACTGACCTCACGTGAGCTAGCTCGAATGTTTTCTCACATGAAAGAGGTCAGTCATTGGCGGGATTTGAACACACAACGGTCAGTGAGAAGTATAGTTCTCTGTCAGCGACCTAATTTGACCACGGATGCACCTTTTCTGCTTCTTTGGAGAAAAGAAATCTACATAATTTCTCCAATTCAAAACACATAGGTTTTTTTAACGAAAAGAGATTTTACAACCTGTAAGAGACCGTTAATTTTTAGTGTGGTGAGCTTATTACTTTTGTTTTAAAAAATGATATATTCTACCCAAACATCTGCTTATTACTAAAAAAAACGACACGTATACAGTGTAAGATATTTGTTTAACGTTACCATTTTAGACTGATCTCAACTCTCAAAGCAACAGCAATAAAGAAAAAACAACAAAAGTCGTTTATCATGTGGGAAGATGTATTGAAAAATACGAAAGATGTAAGTTCTTTAAGTTTTCTATCACCATGGATTTCAAATTATTAATCTTAAAATGATGAAGTTGTTGGCTCTTGTCTGTTTCATATTATCTTTTGCATTTATACAAAATGTATTATGGATATCCGTTTATCCCTGCGTGATCATAAGAGGCGACTAAATGGTTTCAAATTATTGGAGTCTATGCATCTCTTTGCTCCAGCAAGAGGGGTGGTTTTGACCCCTGGTGTTGCTTTTAGTTTGAAACACCCGAGATAAGCCAAAATCATCTTTCCTTTTTCCGACGCCATGACCTAAATTGTGTTGATGCGCCGTAAAACCAAAGAAAACAAACAAAAGGAATGCATGATGTCTTAAGTTTTGTTGAAAGATCGGCTACAAAATTTCAACTCTAAAAATGAACGTTTTTTTAAAAAAAATATTTTACCTTTTTCACATTATCTTTGTCTTAAAACCACGAATTTAACATTAAATGATATAGATTCTAAACTTTCTATATATAATGTGTATCTAACAAAGACAAACAGTGAGTCGTAGAGACGCTTTTAATAAAGATTTATTTTACGTTCATTTTGTTATCAGGTGCCAGCTGATTCTATAATGCAAGTTTGGTTAGGAAGACAACCATTAGTTAAATCTATAAACCAGCGTGGGTATCGAGCCCTGTATTCCTCCTGTTGGTATCTCGATAGTTACCAGAAACATGCTCTGTGGCCGGAATATTATAACTGTGACCCTTCACCTTATGCTACAGGTAAGACAAAAACACATTTAGTTAGACATTATAATGACGGGTATGTAAAGATTTACATCAGTTATTAAATGATTTCAGTTTTAATTCAACTGCCTAAGTTTATTACATATTAGATATTAAGATTTTTTTAAAAATCTGTGCATTTTAATCTTTCTTTATCGAATGATGACTGCTTCCTTAGTGATCCTAAATTAAAACTGACAATTTACACCGGTTCTTGCCCGAATCGGCTTATCAATTCTATCATAATTTTCTTTTAAAGTTTGTATAAATCTACAGTACTTTTAATTAAATAATTTAGAATATAGATTTGTTTCCTTTTTTCCATTTATCATTATTATCATTCGTATGTACCCTAACACTAATACGAATGCCTTTGTCCAAAAATGATGATAAAATAAATAATAAATGAATGAATGATGTTCGAAAATACCCTAAAGTATTTGTAATGTATGACATGTAATGTACTAAAGGTGATATTGTCTCTTTTATCTGTAGAGGCTGAGGAGAAGGGAAAAGTTCTAGGAGGAGAGGCGTGTCTGTGGTCAGAATATATCACTACTGATACACTTATATCGTTCATGTGGTAAGAGTTCAATGACTATATTTATAATGTTAAAGTGTAAGTTTATTCGTTTAAAATCACATCAACAATTCCCCTTGTGGCTGAGGGGTTTCCTAAAAGAGTTGAGGAATCAGAATTGCAGCCACCGTGTATCTCTGCGTGATCTCAAGAGGCAAATAAATGGGTACGAATTACCGGAGTTCTCGCATCTCTTAGCTCCAGAAGGTGAGGTGGTTTTGACCCCTACTGTTGCTTTCATTTTGTAACACCCGAGATAGGCCAAAATCATCTTCCCTTATGGTCTGACTTTGGTTGGTGCATCGTAACATGCAAACAAA